TCACCTTTTCCGCGTCTTCTCGGAGGAGGTCTGCTGTCTCACCCGTCTTGTGCACTAATCCGTTTAGTTTGCACACGTGCTTGCCCAGGTCGTCGAGCATGTTCTGCATGCTGCCGTCGTCTGCCTGCTGACCGAGCTCAAACGCTCCGGCCTCCGTGACTATCTGCTGCAACGTAACGTGAACACTACGAAGCACTGCAAAGTGCTCCTTGACCCCGCTGGACGGCACTGAGTTCATGCTCTCGTCCGAAGAAGCTAGGCTATCGAACGCCTGCGGCGGAGTGCCAATATCGATGCCCTTCACGACCAAGCTCATTTTTCGGCGCAGATGGAGCTGATCGGTTTCGTTTGACCCGAGTGCGCGGCGAAGCTCGTGTGCTTCTTTTTGTCTCCCTTGATCGTTGTCAGAATGGTCAAGTGAGCTCATTAAATCGTTTACAGCTCCAGCCTGTTAGTGTTACTCGGGGCGGCTGTAATTGCTTTTAGTCCGTTGCAATCTCCGGTAGGATTGTCGGAACTTGGTAGCAATTGCACCACGCTGCGACTAATGATCCACCACGATGGAGTAGTGGCCTCACAGCACCTGTGGAACAGCTTCTGCGGTCGTACTAGTCGAGTCTTGCACTTGATTGTCGCAAAACTTTTAGAACAACAGTCGACTTGTTCGCGAATCCGTCAAAATGCCACTCTTTAGCTCGCAAAGCCTTGGCAAGCCGTTGCTTAGTAGAACCTCAAATGCGCTGCTTCGCAAAACCTCAAATGCGCCGCTTCGCAAAACCGTCCGAGGCCGTTGCTTCGCAAAACCTCAAATCCGCTGGTTCGCAAAACCTCAACTGCGCCGCTCCGCAAAACCGTTCGAAGCCGTTGCTTCGCAATCGCAACACCTCAAAGCCGCCGCTTTGCAGAACCGTCCGAAGCCGTTGCTTCGCAAAACCTCAAATCCGCTGCTTTGTAAACCGTCCGACGGGTTGTTTCGCAACACGCTGCTTCGCAAAGCCTCAAATCCGCTGCTTTGTAAACCGTCCGACGGGTTGTCTCGCAACACCTCAAAGCCGCCGCTTCGCAAAGCCTCAAACGCGCTGCTTTGCAAAACCGTTCGAAGTCGTTGCTTCTTGAACTAACGTAACCTCAGCGCGCTGCTGCAGCCGTAATTCGCAAAACCACGAGAAGCCGCAGCATGTGTCGCAAAGCCTCAAAGTCAAATCTGTCGTCGGACCGAATTGCAGTTATCTGTTAGTCTTCTGCGATTCTCCCTCGGATGCTGCTTGGGGTGCTGGCTTATCTTCCACCGTGCTATCCCGTGGCCAGCTGCAAGACAAGACGTCACCCCAAGACGTAGCAGGGAGAATTGCAGCCGACCTTAACGCATTTTTGCGCAACCACTTGAGGCTGATTGCTGTTTCGCAAAACCTTTGAGAACCCGTTTTCTTGCAACGCCACAAAGCCGCAGCTTGCTTCGCAACACCTCCGAAAAGCCGAAACTCGCAAAACCGCAAAGCCGCTGCTTGCTTCGCAAAACTGTCCGAAGCCGTTGTTTCGCAAAGCCGTTCTTTCGTTGTTTCGCAAAATCGATCGAAGCCGTTGTTTCGCAAAACCGTTCGAGGCCGTTGCTTCGCAAAACCACAAAGCCGCTGCTTGTTTCGCAAAACTGTCCGAAGCCGTTGCTTCGCAAAACCACAAAGCCGCCGCTTCTTCGCAAAACCGTCCGAAGGCGTTGTTTCGCAAAACCACAAAGCCGCCGCTTCTTCGCAAAACCGTCCGAAGGCGTTGTTTCGCAAAACCACAAAGCCGCCGCTTCTTCGCAAAACCGTCCGAAGGCGTTGTTTCGCAAAACCACAAAGCCGCCGCTTCTTCGCAAAACCGTCCGAAGGCGTTGTTTCGCAAAACCACAAAGCCGCTGCTTGTTTCGCAAAGCCACTAGGTCAGCGTCTTTCGTTTGACTTCGGATGGGTGTCCAGTTAGTGCTACTGCGATTCTCCCTTGTGTGCTGCTTGGGGTGAATCTTCCGTCGTGCTCTCCCGTGGCCGGCTGCAAAGATGTCACCCCAAGACTCGATAGGGAGAATCGCAACCGACCGTAACGCTGCAGCGGCCGTGGTATCTCTGGGTGTCGTGTACTACGGTCGACTGCAAGAAGAAGAAGTAGCTGCTGCAAGTCCACTACTCTACTAGAAGATAGAGGCCACGTAAACACGCGCGAAAAAGGGGGAAGCTGCTTATCGGAAAAGTAGAATTTGACGTAGAAGCAGTGCTTGCTGGTTGTTAGTTTGGTCTGCGACCTCCGCTTCGCAGCTTGGAAGTGGCTTTGCGTCTGGTTTCGGTTATCCTTACCTTGCTAGGCCAGCTGCAAAGACATCCCAAGTTGCGAAAGGGAGAACTGCAGCCGACCTTAAGACCGGGCCGCGCTGTCTTCGTTAGCTAACCGCTCTACTAGAAGTCGCCGAGAGGAAAAAAAGTTTTACGCTTTTACTCCAACGGCAGTCTTCGTCAGTCCGCGTAGCGCACCCACGCAAGAAGACTTCTCACCAAGAAGAAGGAAGAAGAGCAAGAAGATAGATAACGCAAGCAAGCACTTTCCGTCGGTTAGCCAGCGCGCTCCTTCTGCTTATCTTGTTCTTCGTGTATCTATCGCATGTCGCTGATAGTATTGCTATCTATCCTTATGCTGTTGGTTTTTTATTTTTTTAAAAGCACGAGACTAGTGTAGTTGTATCGTGCTATTCAACTGTGGTAGTTGTTCGTCGTTGCCATCGTTTTACTGTGCCGGATGATCGAAGTCGGATTCGATTCTCGGCTGATGCACCAATGTAACCGAAAATGACTGATCTCTCCACGAAACAATTGCCATCCATGTATTTGGGATTGCGTGAACACTTGAATACTTTGTTCAAGTTGTAGCCAAGTTTCAGGAAACTTACTCACTTTGTTGTTTACGTGTTGCTTACTTGCATATACGTGAAAACGTAGTTACAATCTAACTCAAAACAAACGTAGACTACATCGTCGAAGGATGATCATAGGTTGAGAATCGTTCAGGAGTCTCAGTGTTGTTTTGTCGTGCTTCTTTGTTGTGCTTGTACTTACGTGCACACCGTTCTTACGTTCTGAACTGAACTAACTTGCTCTCGCTGACGAACGTCTAAAACTCATGCGAAGTTCTGTCATACATGACCGATTTCAGACTTCGCACTTGGACCCTCACAACGCGCCAGTTCTCTTGACAACTCTTGACTGTCAGTTCTGGTTACAGCTCTGAGTCGAGAAGTGAGTCGAGCCCTGGAGATGTATAATAGAGCTACAGGAGAACCCTACATCTGTGCGCTCTGAATCGCGAACCGAGTCGAACCATGGAGATGCATAATAAATAGAGGAGGGCCCTATATCTGTGCGCTCTGAATCGCGAACCGAGTCGAACCATGGAGATGCGTAATAGAGGACAGCCCTATATCTGTGCGCTCTGAATCGAGAACCGAGGCGAACCACGGACATGCATAATAGAGGGCGCCCCTATATCTGTGCGCTCTGAATCGAGAACCGAGTCGAACCATGGAGACACGGCAAGGCTGTCCCTCCTGAATCGAGAACGAGCAACGCACCTCATTGCGGGCGCGCATTTATTGACGGCTATACTGAAGCTCTGCTGCGGAGGAGATCGCCCAGGCTGTCTACCTCCGGTAGCACTTAGCTGAACTGTTGCAGAATTTGCGGGGCAAGGCAACGAATTCACGAGGGAGACACCTGGACCAAAATACACAAAGGCGGATTCTACAGCGATGCTGAGCAAAGAAGCAGTGGCGCAGCTGATGCAAAAGGAAGAAAAAAAGGACGCGCCTGATCTAGGGCCCCGCGATAATGGTAACGCCCTGCGTTGATTTCTAGACGGTTCCCTGACTTGTGTCGTGATGCTTACCTTATGCATGAAAATGAATGAAGCAAATAAGTATAACTCTAAGACGTTCGCTGTTTGTCTGTTCTATATAGATCGGCGGGACTCTAGTACGAAACGAAAGCGCCAGCACCTCACTGCTCCCGCACAGCCTTGGAGCTGGATGCCTTCACGCTCGTCGTGGTTTTGCCCTTGGTGGGGCTGGATGCCTTCACGGTCGACGCCTTGGACTTGGAGAGGCTGGACACCTTCACACCTGACGCCACTGCCTTCGAGGAGGTGGACACCTTTACCGTGGGGGATATGCCTGAGGCCTCAGAGCTGGCGGCACCCGTAGAAATTTTTCGGAGAGAGCGAAGCCGCGCGGCATCCTTCTGGTAATGTTTCCGCAACGATTAGAGCACAAACAAAAGACAAGACACAGCTGGCGCATGAGTTTGCGAGGATTTAGCTAAAGGACGAACGAAGGCCACGGGTATAATACCAGACGAACGAGAAGAACACAAGCTCAGGCAAAGAATACAGAAAAACGCCACCACCCACACGCAGGCCCCTACCCTTGCCAGGCGAGACAGGTGGCAGCCCTCCCTCCGCCAGATCATAAAATAAAGCGAGTAGCGCCGCCTTCGTGGCCAATGATTAGAGGAAAACCCAAGGAGAAAACAAGCGCCCCACTCATGGCTCTGCTATGCTAGTCGCTTACCTCCAGAGGCCCGCGCGCTCCTTGAACAAAGCAAAACAGAAGACAGAGGCGACGACAGTTCCTTCCCTTCCCATACTGTGCCTCTCGAGACGCCACGACCCCAGCAGCCGACGCAACCGCTTCCAACTGCAACCGCGTCAAGCTCGTGAAATCTCCTTGCCCCACCGCGGCGAGAGCCTCCTGGTTTAGTTAGTGGAATCCACCACAGAGCCAACCTCCTCAGAAATATCCCCGATGGCGCAGCTGAGCAGGGTGCTCCACTCCCTGGAACATCCTGCCAACTATTTCAAAGACCACAACCACAGACACGCTAGCCACGACAGCCTTAATTTAGCGGCTGCGGCACGTCCCCCGAGCTGAGGAAGGTGATGAGGTCGGCGCGGCTACAGACCGCCCTGAGGCAGGTTTTAGAGGCAGACGCCTGGTGCTTGGTTGCCTCACTTTTTTATGCCTTGCGACCCCCTCTTAAGAAAGGCAAAAAAAGACACACGAGAAACACCAAAAGCCTGCCGCCCGTAAGAGTAGTGGCCATGTACTTCACCACCCAGCGCACGGAGCTCAGCCGTAGACATCTCCCGCAGCCGGTCGAGATTTGGCAACTTCGCAGCCAAATCCATCGAGCCCAAGTCCATGCCAAGCCCATCCGCCACAACCTCCGCCGCCCGATGGGCCTCATCATCTGCATGCGCGGCAAGCTGTCCGGTCCACTTCGGAAGGGGCAAGACATTCCCAAGCGCCTCCGTGTCATTGTTGTGAAAAATTAGAAAAATTGCGGAACTATCAGCAGAGCAACTTGCTGAACTATCGGCAGAACTTGCTGAACTACTTCGGAAGGGCAAGACATTCCCAAGCGCCTCCGTGTCATTGTCGTGAAAAATTAGAAAAATTGCCGAACTATCAACGGAGCAACTTGAGTGGGTGCTGAACTATCGACGGAACTTGCTGAGCTATCAACATAACTTGCCGAACTATCAAAATCGACATAACGCAACTTGCTGAACTATCAACGTAACTTGCTGAGCTATCAGCGTAACCTGCTGAACTATCAGCAGAACTTGCTGAACTACTGCAATTTTCGAGGAGGGAACGCCTTCGAGCGAACAAGAAATGACCCAGCTGAGATTCGAGGCTGAGTCCTGGAGAACAGAAACCAGCGAGCTACCGGCTGAGCTACTTCGTAGTGAAGGTATGGAATGACTCGAGTGACGTGAAGAACGTCAGACAATTCTACGCAGCCGCCGCGACTGTAGCGAAATCCGCTGGCTTTTCGCTCACTATTGAGCTGACAGCTGGGCCATCTTGTCGCGTCAGTCTAGTCATGCAGTTAGTGTTAGGCTTGTCCTTGTGCCTCTGTCCTTGGAGGGGGGGCCTGTGGTTTCGGTATCGTGTGAAGTTCTTGTCTCAAGGCATGGAACCTGAGACCTCAAAGCGCTCGCGCAAGATGCTGACCATTAAGCTATGCTACATGGCTCCAAGTGCACAGCAGAAGGAGAATACTATTACAGGAGGGCCAACGGCTAGGCTAATAGTCTAGGGAGGGAGGCCCGAACCTTCGATAGAGGTGGCGCAGAAGAACAAGGCGAACGCCTAGACCGTTGAGCCGATTTCACTACTTTAGTGAGATGCTTGACGATTGCAATGTCATCACGAAGGTGCATGCTTTGGGGGTTTGTGTTCTTACCAGGAATCGAGCCAGCTTATTTCCAGACGATGAAGATTGTAGCGGACCTTACTAACCACTGCGCCAGTTTTACTGTCTTCAGAGTAGAGCACGACGATCACTATATCAGCGCACGAAGATGGTCCAGACTAAGCATGCAAGTAACTCCCCTAGGGCCATGCGCCAGAGATCTTGACCGAGATGGGCTGAGAACTAGCAAGGCAAGGGCTACAAAGAAATCTACGAGGATTCACAGTATCACGCGCGGCAGTTGCGTCGCTAATGTCTTCGAGACTAGAACCCTCACAGATTGGCTAGAATATTTTCAGCAAGTGAATGTCTTGACCACTAGACCAAGCCTGCCAGCAGCTAATATGTTGAGACGATCGGCGTCATGTTCTAGCAGTCAAATAACGCGAGCGGCCAGAGGTGTGCCCTATTCTTGTGAACTACTGAGGCCACCCTTAGCGGCAAAGACCAGGAGCAAAATGGTCAGAAGCTAGGGAGTTTACAGCTACAAAGTTACTCAGTGGCATCATGCCCCACCGTGGTCAAGTAATACATGGGCGACAGCTGTCAGACCTGTCGAACGAATGGGGCTCCAAGTAAACAGCCCCAGATCTCGAACCAACCTCAAACCCCGAATCAACCAGCCGCACACCCCCCCCCGGGCCTTAGGCTGGGAACCAACCCCAAGCCTCGAATCTGCATTACACACCGAACCAACCCCAAGGCGGGAACCACCCCCACTCTACGCCC